AGATACACTGTATAATACATATCCATTTAATATTTAGATTCAAACTGGAACACTGATCTCTTGGGACATGCATTTCACAGTTTTGGTATTCAGGACTCATTGCTAATAATGATTATACATGTACAAATGCGTGTATTTTGCTTGCCAAATGTTAAGGACTAAATGAATTTTTTAACAGTTAGTGCTTAATTAAATAAAATGGTTTTGCGTTTTTAGAGAAGATGTTGAAAACATGCATAAGTTTACAAATGTTCCCTGGGCGAACAAAGGAAAAAAGCAGATAGCACTATGTGACCTATAAAATATCATGATCATTTACACTCTAGTAGACCTTAAAGCTTAAATCAACCACGTATCTATATACACAAAAGCAGACAAAAGCTCTTACAAATTTGTTCAGGGACGTATATACTAACGGGATGGGCACCTCATACAAGTTGCGGGATTTATATTAATTTCAAATTTGATATTTATCTATTGCTGTCAAATATTTCAGAATAAAACCTTTATTCATCAATCGAAATATTATTCAGGATTAGTTGTTAGTACTATTTATATTGTTTTTCTAAATGATTTAGAATCTGCACTTCTTGAGTGTGCTTGAAATCACTAATCATGGACTTGCTGTTCTTGAGAAGATATAATTTTATTTATTCATCAACACTAAATCAGTAAGCTTTCATATGACTTTTTTTGTCCAGTGGTTCTTGGGAAGATGTTTTAGTAAAGCAACCCTCTTTCTTTATTATCTCCCTTTTGAAGGGACATAATCCTTTATTTGATTAACTTACAATTAGCTATACCAAGGATAATCTGCGCCAAGTTTGGTTGAAATTTGTTCATTGGTTCCTTAGAAGAAGCTGACAATGCGTCAAGTCTACACACGGCCAGATGTAGCTTAATAGATGGATGCTGGAGAACTGTTGATCAAAATAACTCACTTAAGCTTATACAGCGGCTTGTTGTAAAAGGTGGACTGGAGTGGAGTTTGTGGAGTCATGGAGTGGTGTCTATATTGTAACAGAACAAAAAGTTTTTAAAAACTGATTTCTCTTACGTAAAATATCTCCCTTCCACCATCATTTTAAATTTGAATTTGTGAAAAAAACAAGAAACGAAATTGATGCGGCCAAAAAAGGTAGTGCTAGGTAGTATGACCCTGCACTACAATCCCAAAAAGACAAACCTAGTAAGAAGTGCCGACAACTCTAATATCAAACAGATATAGCAAATATCTACACAAATGATTGAAGTATTAAGACATATGAATATTTTTGATAACTGGCTCATGTTCTTTTTAGGTTTTACTATTAAAAGAGAAGTTGTCCTGTACTGATTCATTAAGTGAGCATTACTTTTTTCATGTATCTCATTTCATCATTTTTTATTTCTCATTTTGTGTAAGTATTTACATATCATATATGGGGGGGGGGGGAGTTAAATTGCAGAAAACATTACAGAAGCTTAAACGTAGAGACATCAAAGTTGAAAAGAATCCCTTTGATTCTATTCCTCTTCCTTGTCTTTCTTATTTGTGTATGCCCCAGCTATAGCTGATGTTTGTAATCATTCAGACTCTTTAAAACTCCCTGGTTTCAGAAAAAGTCAGAAACTAGTTCATGTTGTTTGAACCATATTGACAATGAAGTGAATGAATGAATGAGTAAATGAAATCATAACCTTCAAATGTAATCAATAGAAGTAGCTTGCGTGTTTTGTTTTGTTTTGTTTTGTTTTTTGTTTTTTTTTTGGTGTTTTTTTTTTTATTAACAGAGACTAGGTGACCCGCATACAGTCCCATCTCCCCAACAGGCGAGAAGTCTTGACAGATTTAATTACGTCCTAGTAATTTTTACACAATTGTTGATCGTCAAAACAAATTTGCTTTAAAAATATAACTAGTATTGCTTTTGTCAGCGGAAAATAATCTAGAATTGAAGCTTGGCATAGTTTACAGCATGTATATGTATATCAGATTAAGGAATTATATAAAAAAAATCAATCAGCAGACAATCACCTTCTCAACTTTGACAGTGCCGGGTAATATGCAAGTACATGTTAAAATTTCATCATTATTTAGGAATGTGGGTTATCAACAATTAACATGTATTGCTGTGAAAAAAGCATTTAATAACTGATAAGATATAATTAGCTTTTGCAACACATTTTTACGATCTTCATATAATTGAAATCTGATTTTTCAGTGGACAATACCAGCTCTGGACATTTCAGTCTATGGATATTTTTGCAGAAAAACTTAATAGATATTCCTTGAAAAGGGCAAATAATACTTGTAAGACATCTGGTAAATGTTGTGAAGATTTATTTTAAATTAAAACTTATGTCAAATAAGGTATATATATTGTATATAGTATTGGAATTATTGGCGGCCTCAGCAAAATCGAAGACAAAATAAAATAAAATGTAATGAAATGATGAAACAAATGTTGAAATGTTGTCGATTGTAACAAACCATGTTATTTCAAAAACAGAATTAAGTTGACAGCATCCTGCTTTTAGTATTCTTTTTAAAACAGTGATTATTCAGATACATTTAAGCATATCGTTATGGGGATTGACATTCTTTTAAAGTTTTGGTACTCAAGTATTAATTTCTATCAGAAAGTCCTCAAACAGCTGCATCAGTGATACTTGTTCTGGTTGATAGACCGCATGTGATACAGCAAAGTATAATGAAAGCAATATTTCAACAGTAAGCATGTAACAGCTTGTTTAAAAAATGTTCTTCATCGATCAGAAGTACTTGTCATATCATTTCTGTTTTGAGAACATTTATTAAATAAGCTTCTCTTTGTTCAAATATTGGTGAAACTAATTATAGATAGGAATTAAAGCACAACCCCCTCTCTAAGAAACAAAGATAAAAAATTTAAGTTACAGAATAATGCATCATCATTTAAAAATCAAATGCAAATGTACTTACAAAAATTAGGAATGACAATATTAATGGCTGAGTTTATTAGGTCACCTGAGTCACTCAGGTGACCTATTGCTACTTGTTCTTGTCCGTCGTCGTCCGTCGTGTGTTAACATTTGAACATTTTCAGCTTCTTCTCTGCAACCGCTGAACCAAATTTTAGCATATGGCATCTATGCATCTATCATCTTCCTCTCTGCCCCTGGGTATTATTTAAACAAACTAAGTACATTGTTATGATACGCAAGGATGCCTCTTCCAAAATTGTGAATTTCATGGCCCCAGGCTTAAGGGTTCTGGTGAAAAGGGGGAGGCTCTATTGATTATATAGTGAAAAAGCAAAATTTCTTTTAAAATATTCTTTTCTGCTTCTGGTCAAAAAGCTAAGAAGCTAAGTGTATAGTTATGATGAGCAAGAGTGCTTCTTCCACAGTAGTGAATTGCATGACCCTTGTGTCAGATGTGCTGGGTCAGATGTAAGGGTTGGGCTGAAAATGCATTAATTCTATTAAATAATCCTGTCTGCTCCTTAGTGTTAAGCAGATATACAAAGTGAAACTTCTGGTCCCAGGGTGAGCGGCTCTGGTGTTTCTCGGTTGGGAGGGGGGGGGGGGGGGGCTGGGCGGCTCTATTGATAATATAGTGAATATGTAGTAAAAATGCATTATTTCTTTAAAACTCTTCTCTGCACCTAGGCATATCAGAGGCAAAAAGAGTAAAAGTTTTAATAAGGAAGGGTATTTTTACCAGATTTTTGAACATCTGGACCATTTGGTCAAGTGTTCTGGTCCTGGCCGTGGTTCTATTAATTTGTATTCTACTGAGAGGAGTTATTCCCCTTTGCAATTTACTTTTGAAAATTAATCACTGTAAATAATGTACTTAGAAGGTTAATAGAATAAGAGAATTATGCAAGATTTTTTATTGTATTATACAAAAAATACCTTCATAGTTTTAAGGATCAGATAGACTTGTAAGTAATAGATAATTAAAAATGAGACAAAAATAACTTGTCTTATAAAATGTTCATCAACATGAGAGGCCAATGTTAGAGATTTCATCAAGGAATTAAAATAGTACAGAGGCACTAATAGTTTGTTAATATACTGTATGGTGTTAGTGATAAATGGGGAACAGATTAGAAGCTAATTTATGAACTGTTAATGAACACTAGACTAATTATTTTGTTGATCTTGATCGCCCTATTTTTCTTGCTTTTGGGCGACAAAGCTTCGCCTTTCAATTCATTTTATACTCTATGGATCCTCTGAATTGTTGTGTTATACTCAGGTGACCGTTAGGGCCCTTGGGGCTCTTGTTTTAACAAAAAATTACATTTCATATCTTATGATCAATCTTTGACTCTTTAAACTATGATAAATCCCATTGACAAACAGGTTATACAAAAAGTCATGTAGTTTCTGTAGCATTTTCACCAAGTTTAACCAGAAAACGGGAGATTTAAAGGTCAATAGTTTTTTGGCTGCATAGATTTCTTTTGTTTTTTATGTCATTCTTTCAACAAAAATCCAAAATGACACTGCAGGGGAAAATCGTATGTAAAAGACTCCAAAACTAAACAAAACACCTCTCGACTTCTCTCAGCTTTTTACCCCAAACCGCGTACAGCTCAGGTAGGCATAAATATACTATAACACAGGTAACCTAGTTCCCTAAAAACAACGTTTTAGAATTTTTTGACACATTTTGTGTATATACTAAGCTCATTTAAATTTTTGAAAGGTTTAATTAAATCTCACTCAATTTTAAGGATAATATGATCTTCTTTGAACAATCTACAGGAACCTTTACAAAATAACATGATGGTAAGTTCATAACCCAGTATAACTCCACATTTTTTTAATCATTCATTTTTTTTCTTTCCATCAACTAATAAGTATTCTTTCTACATATATACCTTTGTCAAAAACTAATTGAGTTTTCTATTACATCTACCATTCTCCAACACCCATAATGCTATTGATTAAAATGAAAGAAGATACAATGGGACTTTTCTGTACTAATTATAGCACCTAAAACTTTTCAGTCCTGTCTTGTAAAAATGGATTCCATTAGAACTTCACAAATGTAAGTTTTAATGACAGGGATACATGAACAATACTTTAAAATTGACTACTATTTGAATTAGCAGTTTTTGGTTTATAATTTTTTAGTAAATATATACATGGTACAAAAAAAACTATCTAATCTTTTATTAGTAAGTTGAGAACATTGAAAACCTGTAAAACATTCTATTAATAAAAAATTTGAAAACAAAAAAACTACTCAGGCTAAAACTAAAATAAATCACTGATGATAATTACAACTATAGGTTTTGATTTAAAAAAGTAGTAAATCATATAATTTATGGAATTTATTTTTAATTATGGCCATGATTACTTTTGATCAATTACTTACGTGACATACTAAACAATATACATGTATATAAAATTTGCGTTTAATCATCCTTAGTCAGACAGCCATACAACATATGTCAGAGTCGGTGTTTATGGGACTGTGTCATGAAGTGGGGATCTCACAACTGGTGGCCATGAGGAGAGATGTGGTGGACATCATTGATATGGTGAGAGATCAAGTGACAACAAGTGATGTGGACAGTGTTATTTGGAGTGGAAGTTACAGAGAAGGATTCAGACTGAAAGGATCGGATTTAGACATTATGATCTGGCCAAATACTCACCGTGTGATCTGGGAATTATCTCAGTCTCAATATTACAACACAAACAGACAAACACTGATCCTCTATGACTGTTCTAATAGTCCACCAGGATTCATTTTGTTATATTTACTGTCACCAAGCATGGACAGAAGAATCCAGGGAGCTTGTGTTAGAATGAATAACAGATATTATATATCTAGTTCTAAATATAGACAAATCACATTTTCTGATATATCATTACACTCCACTCAACATGGACCCTGTGCCAGTGGAATTATTGGAACAATAGAATTTGATCATGCCTACTGTTTTGTTTGTGACTTTTGGCCTCTGTCTGCCTCCTCATGGATAGACAGATGTCACTCATGGCCCCAACCTCATGTTGTTGATGATATAGTAAAAAATGGATGTCACTTTGTAGCCATCGGACATAAGCTAGGAAGACATGAAGACCAAGAATGGAGAATTTCTTTCTCTCTGGCAGAACAGAAACTTGTGTTTGCAATGAATCACTGCCAATTCTTAACTTACGGCTTGCTTAAATTGTTCTTAACAGAAATAATTAACAATGGAGTAGGTGATGATGATAAATTACTGTGTTCCTATCATATGAAGACAGCAGTTTTCTGGGTGATTCAACAAAATACAATACCTCATTGGTGTCCACAAAATCTCCTGGGGGGTTTCTGGGTCTGTTTTAAACTCATTCTCAAATGGGTGTATGAGGTAGTATGTCCTAACTTTGTCATTCCATATAACATGTTTCTGAGTAATATTTATGGGGAAGGACAACGCCAATTATTTAATAGACTGTATGGGTTGTATGAGAAAGGTTTAGACACATGAAAGCTTTATCTATTATAGAGATGATCAAGGTCAAGTTAGCACAGCCATATGTGATGTATAGGTTAAATGTAAACATTGTAAATATAATGATATATAAAGAGTCTGTAGAGGGACAGTCCTGGTATAACGAGATGAGACAGGCTGTAGCATGGGATATCAAACTTGACAATAGAATCCACTACATCAGTGAATTGATTTATTGATTGTATGTTGTTTAACGTCCCTCTCGGGAATTTTTCACTTATATGGAGACGCCACCATTTGCCGGTGGAGAGCTGCAAATTTTGTCCTATATTCGGAACTTACGGCCATTGAGTAGTAAGGGATCTTTTTCGTGCCAGCACCTACTGCGACACGGGACCTCGGTTTATACGGTCTCATCCGAAGGACCGGTCTCCACGTCCCACAGTGGGATTCGAACCCGCGACGTAAGGATCAACTCCTTACTTCGCGACTCTAGAGCAGACGCTCTAACCACTGCGCCACACGGGCGACTCAGTGAATTGGTACCAGAACAACAGTTTGCTCTACATAGCGATTTCCCTGCATTATATTTTGGCCCTACTCTATACCCTGGGACCATGACTTGAACAAAACTTAAATCTTCAACCTAAGGGTTCTACCATATTTATATCATTATTGATAGACCAGCTTTTCCTAAAATGATTTTTTTTTCTATAAATTCTCTTCAAATTTTGTTCCTCTACTGTGGCTCCTATCTTAATTTCCGGAGGAGATGATAAGAAAAAATTGAATCTACACAACCTGAAATATTAAAATCACTAAGCAAGTCCCTACTTTTCTTCGTATTAATGGGATTTTTTAAGATTTTAACTCAACAATTCCAGGTCAAACTTTGATCATCTATTATTGCCATCCCTTACGGGGGGGGGGGGGGGGGGAGGGGGGTGGATTTGAAAAATTTAGAATGTAAACTATATATATTAAGAAACATTTTACATCATTTTCATTTTTTCTGGCCTTTTGCTTCTTAACGAGACTAAAAAGTTACTCTATATCCCCATGTTAAACTGTAACTCGGCCCTTTCCCCATGGCCATAATTTTGACATTATAGAACCTACACTATGACAGGAATCTTTCACATATCTATTGTGGCCAAGTGGTTCTTGATAAGAAGATTTAATCAGATTTTTTATGTTCCATTTCAAACATCAAGATAAAGTAGAGACTTAATGTTTTCATTTCCTATTAAAAATTTTCCTTAAAGGCAAGGTCTTGGAAATCAGGCTTCATGGAATTGCAATGTTCTTGAATTTTAAGGAAAACAAGTATATTTGAGTACTTTCACAGAGGAGAAATAATATGAACGCACCCTCATTTGAGTGTTTTAATGCAGGGGGAAAATATTTTTGTGATATTGGGATGAGATGGACAAGCAAACATTATGAAACATTATGAAAGAATTTAAAGATATAATTCTTTTTTCACATTTATTTCCCAGACTTATAACATGAAAGATGATATATAGGGCAGCTACCAGGATGGGGCCTTAACTAAGCTCCTTCTATAACAAAATATAATGGTAAACCCTACAGCACCACGCAGGGTTCTTTATATCTAAATACAATGTCTCACATATTTATTCAATCATAGATTCAACAGGTATATTGATTAGATTGTATAACATATAAAAACAAATAATATCTATCCGGATTCAATTTTGGTTTTAAATTTCTTGTTCGTATGTACAATCCGGTGTGATTCATGAATGTGTTGCAATAATGAATAAATGGAAAAGAGAGAAACATTGAAGTTAATTTAAAGCTGGAGTGTGGAAAAGAGGTAACAGTTCATCGAATTCTGTTAGTACATTTAATGTTAAATTCATATCTCCCTTAAAATTGTGTTCCGCTTCTAGCACGTTAATGATAAAGCAATTTTTTAACAATTGAAAAATTGATTTCATTTCTTTTCTGAATACTTTTTGGAGCAATGAAGTAGTATTTTTTTTATATCTTCATACTTGATACTGTTTCTTGTTTTCCATATTGACCACTTGTATATATAAATCAAAGTGTTGACACAAATTCGAACATTTTTGAATTCACTGGCAAATCCCAGTAGAACAGTGCATGCATCAAAGAACTATATGCGGTATATGCACAATTTTGCCCCCACAAGAGTCATATTTTGAAAATTTCTTGAAATGTGCTGAATTGTATATATTGTGTGAGAAATCTAAATTAACAAAAAATATTATAGTTTCGAAGTAGATTATTGGCAACTTTTGTTTCTATGACGTCACAAACTAATCGGATTTTGTGTTATTTTTCAGAAAAAGGAAAAAATGGACAAAATTTGTTCAATTTTTACTATAAAATTTATAGAGTGTAGGCCTGCTCAAGAACAATATTTCCATATTTCATTGATATTATCATTCTACACATTATATCAAAATATTGAAATGGAGCAGACCTGCGCTCGGTGACTTTTACTCAAAATATCGACGTAATATACACTTTTTTTCTGTATAAATCATGGAACTTTTGAATTTACGTCATCTTTCTGACGTCATATCTAACATATGGCGTCATGGCTTATGAAAATATTCAGTGCTTTGAAGTCTGCAGATATTTCCCTGTTTTAGAACATAATTATATATTTCTCCGTCAAAGTTTGATTTTGGGGGCAAATATTGCTCATTACCGAATATAGTCCTTTGATTGGATCCTTTACAGGTATTTTTAAAATTATTCTTTATACCAATTCTAAAACTGGTTTGATGTGTTTACATTAATAAAATAAATATTTCTGGCTCTCAATATTTCCTTTACAAAAAAAGCATTTGCCATTTGATAACCCCATTTCACGTAATTTTTTTTCGGTATATACATGTAAAATGTTATGCAAACATTTCCATTGGAATTCTTAAACATTTTGTTTTAATTTAGTTTCGTAACTTGATCCCCAAATTCTTTCCCACGTAATGTCATATTGCAGCAACTTCTCCTATTTTTCTTGAGATTTGGGAGTAACATTTTTGTTTAACACTCTGTATGTTTTTGAGTTTTATATCATCAAAATTTATGAACCAAATTGTTTTCCTAACAATTAAAAAAAAATTAACAACACAAAATAAATATGTATTTTTTTATCACTGCTATTTGTAGTATTTCTCCCTACAAGAATATCAATATATTATTTAAGTATGGTGGCTTTTATCTTACTGTATTGAAAAACCCAACTCCTTTTATCAAGAAGTTTCGTAGATAGACTTACTATCTTTTTCCCAAATACTACCAATAGTGTGTAAACCACATTTAATGAAAGACTCTATATATAGATTTTTACCTCAAAAGTGTATATATTTATTTCCAAAATCTGACATTTTAAAAATTACTGGTGTTGTAAATATATTTAATAATGAGGACCTTAAATCACTAATTTTAAAAGGTCCTAAATATAGGGAACCCCGATCATTCAACTGGCGTCGTAATTTCATACATATTATTAATTCTGTAGAGGATTACTCCAGGCGTTGGGACAGACATGAAAAAGAAGACATTGACACTTTGTCAGAATGGATTAAATGTGTCAGATGGGACACATCAGATGAGGGGAAATATGAAAACCATCTATCCTTCTGTATTCAATAATTCAGAAATGAAAAAAAGAATTAGATAGATTACATGATCAGTAGGTACTGGTCCCTGCTGACAAAGCAGGTAACAACTTGTCTTTGTTTGTAAGGCTCATTATATAAATTGTATCTTACAGGAACTGGGATTTAAGGAAGCTCAAAACACTGCACACTAAAGAGTTCTACTTGTAGGGTAGTTTTATGCAGTTTAAGTGATCTGCCCTTAGAAGTAAGATAGAAAAAATGGTTGTTTACTGTTAATTACACAATTTATAATAGATTAAAATATTCTTAGCATTATATAAGAATAAGTAATTAAATTCATTATTTCCATTGATTTTCCCACTGTACATGTAAGTAAACAACAGTGATTTCTGTTCATGAATAGTCCATTGTCTTTGAACATTTTTCCTGCGGAAATAAGGCAGGTACCCTATGTTGAAAATGAAATAAACAGTCTCAATATGCACACCGTAATATGATATATTTTTCTCCAAGCCCAAAAAGCACTTTTTGTTAGTATTTAGAGCTTCCTTAATTCTACAAGTGGTAATCCAACTTATACCCATAACTCACTTTCTAAGGAGGAAATTCTTCATATGTCAGTTTTAAATATTTTTTTTTATATTCCCAACAACGAAAATGAATTTGAATTACCATATCTATTTTGGATTCCGAAACTTCATAAAAAGCCTTAGTAACAAAGATAAATAGCGGGTTCCAATAAATATTCAACTTAGCCTCTCTCTTTACTCCTCACTAAGATATTAACAGTATTGAAGGAGAAACTTCAAGATTGCTGTGCAACAATATATTGGAGAAGTGGTGAAAATCAGATTTGGATACTAAAATATTCCAGGGAACTTTTGGAATATTTGAATTTTACTAAAATCAACAACATAAAATCTTACGACTATTCTCCACGATAAATTAATGTCCATACTTTCTTACATCGTTGACAGCTGCTTTTTCAATAAAAATGGAACTCGTAAATTTACTTACCTTGTCATCGGTCATTTGAAAATTACTTTGTTAAAAAACAATCTGATTGTACACACAAGTACTCTGAAGTTGACATTAAAAAGATGCTTGAGTTTCTAATTGACAATATCTATGTGCTTTTTGGATACCAGGTCCTCGTTCGAATTCGTAAGAGTACCGATAGCGCCCCGTTATTAGAAGGCCTATTTTTATATTCATATGAAACAGAATTTGTCCAAAATCTTGTACGTGAAAAGAAGAAAACACTTGCTGTGGCCTTCAACTCGATATTTATGTCCATCGACGACGAATTTCAATTAACAATGGTTATTTCCACTCTTATGTCGGCACGATATATCCCAGTGAGCTTGAGGTAAAAGATACCGCAGAGTCTGACACATCTATTTCATATTTGGA